TCGCCTGGCTCATATACACCTCTTGAATATGGGTTGATCCAGGCGTAAAATCTTGTTCAGTGATATAAATCACCTCTTCCCACTGTAGATAAAATAAGCCAGCATGACGAAGTAGGCTGTCGAGACGTATATCTGCAAAACTTGATATATCAGCTTGATAGGTGATATCATCTTGAAGTCAAAGTCATCAGCATATATGCAGTACATCTGGGTTTGATGGGTTTGATTGAGTGAGTGAATGACAATTTCCGCAGGCCATCTGCTACCCGGTATATATCTCCGCATCCGTGTAGATGAAGGGATTCTTTCATCAAGTAGGTTGTCGTCCAAAACTGAACCTATATAGGTGTAAGGTTCATACCGGTTGTAGAGTTAAGCAGGCTGTAAACTGTAGAGATCGCACATGTTGTAGATCTTTATGTTGAGTTGACGTTAACATTCTGCCTGTTGACCTAAGGTTCTTAAAGGTCACATGCAACCAAAAAATCAAACATAATTAAAACACAATTATCACTTATTCATGACATATAATATACATTGCTGGTTATGAAAAAACATATAAACAAAATTATAAGCGTACAATCGCAAATCAAAAGTGCAATATTGTGTACTTGGGTTTACTTCCCAAGAAACGAAGCAGCCGGGATACCGAACCCAGTCAGAGCGGGTGGGTGTGCACTCAAGTGTAGCGGCTGGTTCATTTGCAGATGCCCCCCTCACGGCTCATTGTGTGTGTATATATAGAGATGTTGGGTTTTGTAAATACATGCTCATTTTTTGTGTATAACATTTTGCAATCAACAGACATCAAAACATGTCATGTGTTCAAGTATCACACCTGCCTGTCTGTGTAATTACATAATGTGACAGAGACCGAACTCGGGCCATAAATCAATGCGTTTTGTTTATGGTGTATAGCCTGATTGGTGTTAAGTTCAAATTGTATGTGGTCAGTGATCGCAGTTGTGTATTGAATATTGTCATTAGCAGACGGGCAGGCAGACACACAGGTGTCAATAAAACAAGACATTGAGTTTTGTCTGTGACAACGACATAACTATATCACAGTTAGAAATTCTGTCAACGCTAAATAATGACTTTGCTTTTAAGTATCGAACTGAGAAAGTGACTCGGTAAGAAGAACGTGTGGTGAAATAGACAAATGAAATAATATAAACAGTTTATTTACTGTCATAACATATAAAAAGCTTGCGCCTCTGTTAGATATCAACAAAACATTATGAAAATAGCTCACACCAAAGCCTTCACCAAGTTGTGATTTACGTTGCATGTGACCTTTAAACCTTGGATTCCCGAACCATGTAGATGTCTGTATTGTTGATATCTGCCCGTAGATCTGAGAGTTTGTGAACCTTGTAGATGTCTGCATTGCTGGTATCTGCCTGTAGAATCTGAGAGTTCGCGAACCTTGGAGATGTCTGCGTTACTGATATCTGCCGATAGATCTGAGAGTTCACAAACCCTGTAGATGTCTGCGTTACTGATATCTGCCTGTAGATCTGAGAGTTCACGAACCCTGTAGATGTCTGCGTTGCTGATATCTGCCTATAGATCTGAGAGTTCACGAACCCTGTAGATGTCTGCGTTGCTGATATCTGCTTGTAGATCTGAGAGTTCACGAACCCTGTAGATGTCTGCGTTGCTGATATCTGCCTGTAGATCTGAGAGTTCGCAAACCTAGGAGATGTCTGCATTGCTGATATCTGCCTGTAGATCTGAGAGTTCGCGAACCTTGTAGATGTCTGCGTTGCTGATATCTGCTCGTAGATCTGCGAGTTCGCACACCTTGGAGATGTCTGCTTGCTGATATCTGCCTGTGTGTACTGATATCGGCCTGTTGATCTATTCAGGTGCTTTCTCGAACGCTGTCTGGAGGTTGGCCGCAACTTTAGATATAGGCTCAATAGGCGGGATCGTGATGGAGTCAAAGTTGTCATCATGCATCTGATAGGAGAGGATGTCGTCTGTATCTTTAGATGGTGACTGCAGATTCAGGCCGTTAGCTATCCAGCTGTAATCTCTGGATCAGGAAACACAAGGTCTTCTTGTTGCTCCTGTAGTGGATGTTGAATAGAGCTGATACTGCGCTGTTCATCTGCCTGTGAATCTGCATCCCCTTGTGTGCTGTCCTCCTTTCGCGAACCCTTCTCAGATGATTCCCCTCTTTGCGAACCTTTATCTTGGGAAAGATGTGTTAGCGAACCTCTAGATGACTCATCATCCTTTCGCGAAAACCTTGTAATGAGAGCTGTGCCTTCGCGAACCCTTGTAAGGAGAGCTGTGCCTTCGCGAACCCTTGTAATGAGAGCTGTGCCTTCGCAAACCCTTGTAAGGAGAGCTGTGCCTTCGCGAACATTCTACCGCCATTTCATTACTTCGTGACTTCGAATGATGAGAGCTGTGCTTTCGCGAACGTCTGCTCTGCGGGCTGCCACTGTAGGATGATCTATGCTCATGCGATGATCTGTGGTGTGAGCTTCTTCCTCTTCGCAAACCTCTATGATTTGGTGAACAGCTTTACGAACTTCTGCGAGATCTAGATCTGGAACGACTTGAAGATGATGACGTCCAACTCGTTGTTCTGCTGCGTCTGGAGTCTGAAGATCTCTCTGCAGATGACTGAGGGTTCGCAGATGTAGATTGTTGAGTGGACGTTCGCAGAGGTGTACGTTCGCGAACGTTATCTCTCACTGCCGATGTCTGCGTAGAGGGTTGACTGAGGCCTGTAGCTTCACGCAGATCTGAGGGTTCGCGAACCCTTCCTGCAGCTGAGAGGCTTCGCCAAGCCTGTGCTTCTTCCGCGAACCTCCACTCCATCATGGACATCATCTGTTTGGTGAACTGCGTCATAAACTCGCCAGTCTCGAAGTTCTGCGTTGTCTGAAGATGCAGGGGTGTGGACGTAGCGTTCGCAAACGCTGAAGTGTTGAGTACCACTGGTTCACTGCGTTGAGATGCTGGAGGTAGATCATCAGATATCTGGCAAGTTATGATCGTTGCAGGTGAAGATCTGGTCGTAGATGTTGAAGAAGTCGTCACCCTCATCGGTACTTAAGGTAGAAGTATCGGCGGTTCATCGAAGACGTCTATGCTGAGACGACTTATTAGGACACACCAACTTCCCCGTAGCTGCAGCTGCCTTCATCTGCAACGTGGAGGATGACGTCTACTTCTTAAGAGACGACGTAGGCTGCGAGGTAGTCGTCTTCTTTTTAGCGCCCGTAATAGCTGACTGCCCCTGTAACAAACTCCAGTTATCACCAGAGTTATGCATCTCAACTGCACCAGACAACTCACGGTATACAGGCTCATCTCTGTTCTTATCCATCGTGACTGCCGATAACTTCCTCACCCTGTCCATGGCACGTCTGAATATATATGATAAATATTGGTTAAATTGTATTTGTGACAAATCAACACAATAATTACAACGTGAGTTGGAAGAACATGGTGTACTGCACGAAGGGCATAGGGGGTGAGGATCAGCACGAGACAACCTGTGCCTGCAAACAACACATGATTTCATGAATGTAAACACAATTACATAGCATGAAAATATGGCACAATTCAAAAAAAAAAACGTAAATAATTTACACATAATATATTATTATGATAGCCAAAACTATATATAGCGTAACTTTACAATAATAGGCCTAAATGGACAAGGATATATGCCGTATAGGGACTCCAAGTACTCGCCCAACCATTCGCTTGGGCGAAAAGGGAGAGAGTGACAAGTATGGGCACATCACATGGTACGTTTGTGCGGGAAAGGGCAAGGGAGGTAACTCGTGGGTGAGTATTTATACGTCCGCTTTGGGAACTTCAAGGGATTAAAGTGTTCCACTATTATTCGAAAGGGAAAGGGAGATAAGCAAAAGATCATGAGTTAGGATAAGGAAAACTAAGCTTTATAATGGAGTCAAAATTAGCATTTGGTCACATATTAACTTGATCAGTGAGCTTCACTTCATTCCTTCATGTATACATGGTATATGACACATCACTGGTAACTTATCTTCAATGGATTACACACATGATGCATCACCACTAACTTAAATTCAATGGAGTTAGCTCCAAATGCATCACTGTCCACTGACATTACATGGAGAATGCCCCGATGCATCACCGTCCACTGATCTTCAATGGATGAATCGCCACTAACTTACCTTAAATTGATTTCAATTCTAATGCATCACCGTCCACTGACCTTCAATGGATGCATCACCACTAACTTACCTTCAATGGAGTTAGGGGCGGTGGGGTAGCCTAGTGGTTAAAGCGTTGGCTCGTCATGCCGAAGACCTGGGTTCGAATCCCCACATGGGTACAATGTGTGAAGCCCATTTCTGGTGTCCCCCGCCGTGATGTTGCTGGAATATTGCTAAAAGCGGCGTAAAACCAAACTCAGTCAGTCAGTCAGTCAATGGAGTTAACTTCTAATGCATCACCGTCCACTGACATTCAATGGATGAATCGCCACTAACTTACCTTCAATGGAGATCACTTCTAATGCATCACCGTCCACTGACATTCAATGGATGAATCGCCACTAACTTACCTTCAATGGAGATCACTTCTAATGCATCACCGTCCACTGACATTCAATGGATGAATCGCCACTAACTTACCTTCAATGGAGATCACTTCTAATGCATCACCATCCACTGACATTCAATGGATGAATCGCCACTAACTTACCTTCAATGGAGATCACTCCTAATGCATCACCGTCCACTGACATCACATGGAGCATGTTCCTGATGCATCACCATCCACTGACATTCAATGGAATTCACTTCTAATGAACAGTGCTAAATGACCTTCAATGGAGTGCACTGTTAATGCATCGCTGTCAACTGGCCTTCAATTGAGTACAGACTTAAAGCATCATGCATCATCACTACTGCATCACCACTGACAACTGGCCTTCAATGAAGCATACTTCTATTGCATCCCCGCTAATCTATCCGACCTACCTGCCATCTGCCCAGGACTTCCATAGCCTGAGTCCTGCTGGCCCTACAACATGAAGACATTCACTTACAATCCACTCAAGGTTAGGGACATGAAAACATAATTTTCTAAGAAATTATAAAATAAAAAACAAATATATTTCAGATGCACCACTGCCAACTTGCTGGTACATTTCCATCAACAAGTTAATATGGCGTCACAACAACTTCTCATAAACAAAGATTAGCATCAATAACTTGACATCTTGTGTTTCTTGATTGAGTGAGTTTAGTTTTACGCTGCACACAGCAATATTCCAGCTACATGGTGGCGGTCTGTAAATAATTGAGTCAGACAATCAAGTGAACAGCATTGAACCGTTTTTTTCCCTGTAAAACATGCTCATTTCAGAGACTAGATGTAAGTCCAGTCATAGTGCAGGGATAGTTTTGCAGAACTAAACACTGCACAAAACATACCGCTGTGTGAGGGACAGGTACTTCTGGGTCCCCTGTGGTCGATGTTGCGGCCTGACCTACTACAGCTGCAGAACTGGGTTCAACTTCAGCTACAGTGCCGAGCTGTTCAGGGTCAGTTTGGACAGCGCTTTCCTGCGAAGCCATCAGTGGTCCACGTGGACGCTGCCGTCTCCTCCGAGGGCCTAGGCCTGAGGATGAAAGGATGACACTGTTAGAACAGCAGTCCAGTTCAGGAGCAACCCTTAAGGGTAATGTATGAAGCATGACATATTAGTTAGGAAAACAGAAGTATTAAATGGTCAAATCTGAACCACGCTGAGTAGTAACAAAATAAAACAAATGACATCATGGCTCATTGACAAGGGTGCAGAGACATGCCACCAGGATTCGGTGTGATGCCACCAGAGATCAGAATTCGGTGACATGCCGACAGACATCAGGATTCGGTGACATGCCACCAGACATCAGGGTTCGGTGACATGCCACCAGGATTAAGTGAGAAGCCACCAGGATTCAGTGACATAGTGACATGCCACCAGGATTCAGTGACATGTCACCATGATGCAGAGACATTCAGGGAAGTATGCTCCCAATACATCACCACTAACTGGGCAAAGTGAGACTCACCTTGATCTTGTTGATACAGATGGTGCTGGGATTCATACTCCGTTACCAGGACACGTATGTACAGGTTAACTGCAACAAGAACTTGTGCCATACAACATTCATAAGCAGAATCTACCAAGCTGGCAATATGTGTTATAATAATCTTTACATCAAAAAGGTATATCTTATCTGGGATATTACTCTAAAGACTGAAGTAAGTTTGTTTTGCTATATTGACAAACTTTATGGATACCAACTTCTTTATTTGTAAGTGCAATGTTTATTTCACATTATTCTACTGTTGTTAAGCAGGAATGTACCATGCAGCCAGTGGAATGAAATATCCTTGCTCTCAGTTGATGGTTGGCGTGTTATGTGAATAGTTTTGATGAGTTTGTGTTTGGTTAAGTCTGTTTGACTGTTGGCAAGAATGATGTGGGACAAGTTTATCTGGTGATTGGGGTTAGATTGGATGTGATCTGAGATGGCTGATTGCTGTCAGAATTGGTGACGGCAGACTGGTTTTCTTTCACTCAGATGTTGACGGGTTGGGGTGCTTTGCCAATGTAGATATGTCCACAATCACAGTTTATTTTATACATGACACATTTCTGGCTGTTGTTGACGGGTAGTGATTTTCTTCCATCAGCATGAAAAAAGGTTGTTGAGAATCGAGGATGAGGAGAAGGTAGTGTCTATGCATGCTTGCTGTCTGCTGATTCAATGTGATGGTTTATCAATCTAGGGTTCAGTCTAAGTAAACTTAGACTCAGTATTATTCGTTACACTGCTATACTGAGTCTAACAAAACCTTGTGGAAGGTCGCGTGAGGTAACATTTGAGCAACCTATGACCGTCCAATCAAAGGTGAGACTGACGAACGGATTTAACCAATCAGACAACGGCTACTATTTAGGATTCGGGGGACTTACAAAATGGATTTTCTCGTCCCCGGTTGCCAACACTGATCTCCCAACAAATGAAAATCCACATAAAACACAGATATTTGACCTGCAGTATATACACTTTATGGTTCCTGTTGACATGGTTATCATGAGGTAATATTTCCGCAAGTTGACATGCTGGAATACTGACAAAACGCTATTTTTAGCGAATGTTTACTCACTGCAGTGGCGTGCATCACTAGGAACCGATTGTACGGAAAATAGCATTCAAAATCGTTCGGGGACAAACTTTTTTCGAGGTAAAAGTTCAAAAGGTCTGTGCGAATGTCTACTTTCGCGATTTGGTAAGCTGTGTTCTGATTGGTCAATTGGAAAGGTTAGCTGACGCGATCTTCTACTAGATTTTGTTAGACTCAGTATAGCAGTGTAACGAATAATACTGAGTCTAAGTTTACTTAGACTGATGTAGGGTTTGGATATCTTCAAGGGGACTGAAGCTGGTTTGGGTCTATTGGAGGGAGGTGGCAGTGTTGCAGCAATGGTTCTAGTGACTGTTTGGGATGGATAGTGGTTTAGTATTACAAAGACTCTCTTCAGGTGTTTAGCTAGTTGTTTAGCTAGTTAAGGTGATAATAGATTTTAGAGATGAAAATGGTCTGTGTATACTAAAGTGTTCAATGGCCGACCAAAGTATATATTGGTCATTAGTGGTAAATTCACAATATCAAGTGAAATTCAGTAAATCATGAATTACCATCACTGCTGTTGTAGCAGTACATAGAAATATTTTTCATTCTGTTACTCAGTGACTATTACTGGTACCTAAAGAGATTGTGATATTTGTATTGTGTATGTTTTTCCCTTTTCTGTGTTGTCTCCAGTTGAGAAGAATTAAAGATGAACTGACCTTACTCAACTTTTTTGTCACTTTTCCACCCCACATTACGTTCAGATATGTTTTACCATTATATTTCCAGATTGTATTCAAAACTATTTCATTTTCATTTTGCAATAATATTTTCAAAACAAGAGTCATTCAAAGCAATAATATTTTCAAAACAAGAGTCATCAGAAACTGACAAATCCCACTGGCCCCTACAAATTTGAAAGAACAAATCATCTGACAGCTACTTAAAGTCCAACTTGACTTTTTGGACTAAGTCCTACACGTTTCCATGGAAACCAAGAAAAATGAAAATGACAGAAATCTGCAAATAGCAAAAGACACCACTTTGGGGTCTGCCTCATGTATTTGCCAAGTTTTGCAGAAAGATATTGAAAGGTTTTTGAGTTGTGCTCCGGAAAAGAAGCCCACCCCTCCCTTTTGATACAAGTCCAAAACGTTTCCATCCAAACCGAAAGTGTAAATATGACAAAAATCTGTAAATAGCAAAAGGCACCACTTTAGGTTCTGTTTGATATATATATATCAATTATTTTTGTTGAGAAATATTGAACAGTTTTTTAGTTATGCACCGGAAACAAAATGATTACGGATGGAAAGATGGATGGACGGACGGACTAGGCATCGACTATATCCCCCGGCATAAAAACATTAACAATTAAACATGTAATAAAAACATTAGATCTTAAAAAGGTCTTACCAGAGTACACCTGTTCAGTGTGTCTCCACAGTTCCTGAGAAAGTATGATTAGAATGCAAATTGCTGAGTCAAAAGGCACAGGCATGGTTAACTGAAAAATATAAGACAATAGATATTAAAAATGTTTGTAAATCTCAGTGGTGACCAAACTGCGAAAAGGATTCAAACCTCTTTAAAGCCTTACCAATCGATTCTGGAAGGATGAAATTCTTAGAATGATGCTGATATCCGTCAGAATAGTCAGCTATGTTAAAAACCCTTACCAAACTTTCAGCTCCAGCGACCTTGAGATGTTGTATAAGGTCAAAGTGACAGAACCAGACAGAGGAACGACAATGTACTGGAGGGTAATCTGACTTTCAGTCAGGTGAGCTAAAAAAAACTTTAAAGCCAGGCACTCCAGTGGTTGACAATATGAACACACAAGACATTTCACACATGTTTACAGTTCTAAACTCTAATGTACAACTGAAGTTTCTTCACAAGGGGAGCAATTATCAATATAAGTAGGGAATGTAACAGGTACGCAAGACAGTCCCCTGTTACTATTACAAGTGCCTACCTGACAGGTAGGAAAATTTATTTGGATGACTGCCTGACCATGGACAGGGGATTCTGCATGTCACAGGAAAACGGGTCTAAAAGGGAAAATAATCAAGGAGGGGTGGGTGAGTGACTTAAACCCATACAGGAATTGAACCTACACTTTCAGAATAAGGCACCTTGAATATACAATAGTTTTATGATTATCATTTGCAATGTCATATATAGCTGCTTTATGAATATACCCATTTTCAAATGGAGAACTGTACATGATGCAATCCATATTTCCTTGGGATAATAAAGATATTAACTTTTATTATATTCTTAAGGGTGAAATACTGTGAATATTGGTGAAAATAAAAATGATATTTCCACTGAGTAGAAAAACATGTTATTTCACTGAGAAGAAGATGTTATTTCACTGAGTAGAATATCACTTTTGCCTGGTCGCGATCATATTTAGACAATGATCAAAAAAGAATAAATAGAATATTTTGTTAATGTTGTCAAATAACATGTATATTTCAACTCAAGGCCTGACAAAGTTGATATGTTCAAGAGTTCACGAGATGAAATATACATGTTATATCCTCTATTTATTACCTACGAGAGCGAACATGTCGGGGTTCATACGATCACTTAATCATGGTGACGTGACGTCTTGAACAATGCTATGTGACAATGCTTCTGTGACGTTGGGTTCTACATACATATGTACGGTAACAGCGGATGCCCAGCCTATGTTTGCAAGTAGATTTGAGTTTATGTGTGGCAGTCACATATATTTGTGTTACTGTCAAATAAACCATACACTGTACACCACTGTAATTAGTATTAGTATTAATAGTGACATTAGTATTTACGTTAGTATTTGTACTAGTTATTGGTATATAGTGAATATAGTATTAGTATTAGTATTAGCATTAGTATTAGTTGTCTGTCCAGTGACCATGGCATGATAGGGTGTTGTGCGAGACTTCTGTATGTTGGTCAACCTGCACAGTTCTTTCATAAGAGCTCCTTCAAAGTTGGCACCTTGATCCGAATGAATACGCACAGGTAACCCATAATGTACCACAAAGTTGTTAAAGAAAACATCAGCGGTGGTCTTAGCAGTCATATTTAGGGTTGGATACGCCTGTGCATATCTGGTGAAATGATCGGTCACTACAAGAATATGTTGTTGTCCGCCCTTGGATGGTTCCAGCAGAGACCATATAATAGAGGGACGGCCCTCTAGCCAGTGCGCAAAACCATCAGCGCTACGGCTTGTACTGCGCACCCTATCCTGGCTGGCAAAAACGTGTGTTGACTTCAGTCATCGATTTCGCGTATTTTCATTGCAAAGGTAAGATTTGATTTTTTTCATGTATTCTTATGCATATACTTACATTTGCAACAGTGCATTAGAGGTGTATTAGGGGTGCTAAAGCATATATTTGTCTTTGTGTTTGATGAATACTGTCATGTGTGCTCGTCGTTCTGTGAGAACAATGGCGGAGGTGTAAAATCGGCAAAAGTCCCGATTTTGATTTTCAATAACGGATACTAATTCTCAATGCAAATCCTTAGTTACCGGGGTGTAATGAAAGAAAATAAGATAAAGATTTGTATAGGGGCATTTTTAAGTCTGTGGCGTTCGCGTCATTCCTTATTTTGGCTCGTGCATGCGATGAAATATGATGTTTTCCGAAAATTTTACTCCACAACACTTGATTTTCGCACGCTTTCACAAGAACAGCTTATTACTAGCATATTTAAAATAAACATGTGAACATTCACGGCGATTTCCTCTTTTGCGTGGTACACTTTTTATATGGCTACGATCGGTATTTTATTTTTTATGATTTTTGGCGTAAACCCATATTTGCGTCGTATACTGAACATTTCAATTATCATGTAGCAGACGACATAACATTCATTTTGTTCATTAATATAACGTGAATATGTATTTAAATCATTCTACAAAAGTCTCATTCACCTCATCGTTTGAAAAAAGTACATATTTCCATTATTGTTCATTTTGATGATTATATTTGTGGAAAAGGTCCTTATTTATCATGTAACAATTCATATATTTTTCTGTTATCATTATTCTTCCTACTGAAGTTAGAGTTATATTGCTATATATTATTATATTATTATACAGTACCATCAGCCTGACTTTATGCAACAATGAATCAACATTTTATTTATATCATTACACGATTTATATAATAAATTATCATTTGTTTGGTAGATGCCCAGGAAAAAGTGGGGTCCGAGACAACAAGGTGTCAGTTCTTCCTCTCTCTCTCTGACATTCTTATTCATCAGTTCAATCTACTGTTCTCGACGATTGCAGGTAAGTAATAATGGAAGTAAGAAATTCACAAATGATGTCTTTGAAAACAAATGAGTAATTTTGTGTTGATATTTTGTAGTTATTGGTACTTGTATATCTGGTACCTGCAGAAATAAGTTTAAAATATCAAAGCAATTGTATAATCAAATATTAATATTGTTTCTTTTCTTATGTAAAAACAACGGTATAGTGTAAATTTTTAAATACAATATTCCCATCTTGAGTAAGTAACTAGACCTTGTTTGAAAGAGCATTGGCAACCAACTATTGCATAATTTTAACAACTATTTAGAACACTTCAAATTTATTTTTTTAATATTAATATTGTGTAACTCCATTTTCAGTTCAAGAGATGCACTGTGGGACAAAGCATGGAAGTCATTCTTCATTGACCTCACCGATGAACCCACAGATACCCCATGCCTGGAAGAAGCGACAGATTCTGATGGTTGTTCGGCTGATGAATTCTTTGGGTTTATTTGACACAATTCACCAGTATCATCCGGACAACAATGTAGATGAATTTGTTGATGGCATCCTGCGATACCAGCAATATTTAACATTAAAAAAGGAGCTGTTTCAGCATGTAGATGAGCTAGGCAATTTTACAATTGCAAGAAACAAGCGTGAAAACATTACTATTGTGCAGTTTTATGACTGACGTAGGCTCAGTCCAGCTTCCAGTAGTCATCAAGCCACCCTTTACATCAGCAATATATGCACATCGACGTGACTTTGACCCAAATCATGAATTCTGGATTGGTTTACCTGCATTTTTCTCCACCCTAAGAGATATGAAGAAACTTTTATCAAAACTGTCTACATACCATGTTTGCGTTGGCAATTATGAAGGCAGATTTGCAGACTTGATTCCAGTTGGTGCAGGCATAAGTGAAGGAGCTATTTCAACAATATCTGCCTAATAATTTAACATGTAATAAAGTACATGAGTAGAAATTATGGAAATTAACATCCAATGTACAGTTCACTTCATGGATATCTAAAATATCTGTTAATGAAGTTATATTAAGATTGTGTTCAGATTTGTATGATTTTATGTTTTACATTCACAATCAGTCCTAAATGGACAACATAACTATGCAGGTTGTGTTGCAAGAAGTTTATAAGTTATCATCTTCCCTTATTTTATCATGACTACAATTAATATATTTTTCTGTTATCAATGTTCTTCCTAATGAAGTTTGATTATGAGTTTACCTGGGCTTAGACAGTACCTACAGCCTGTCTTATGCAACAACAAAAATGAAAAATGAACTCATTATTCAACATTATATTTATATCATAAAATTATCATTTGTTTTGTAGATGCCCAGGAAAAAGAAAGTTTTCATCGGAAGGGCTACTCAAAGAGCCTACTATTAAGTACAATATTCCCATCTTGATTAAGTAGATATACCTTGTTTGAAAGAGCATTGGCAACCAACTATTGCATAATTTTAATTTCAAATTCAGTTTAGAGTTTATTTGCAACAGTTGAAATTCACATTTACTGTGTTTTTAATGAAAGAATATCTAAATGGTTGAATTTAGTAATACATGATTGTACATATAGATCTATGGTCCTATTCTACAATAAATACATTGTACATATAAGAACGTGTGATGTTGTGTTTTAATGTTATTGGTTGCATTTTCCAGTCAAGTTAAAGTTGACACTTTGCTGAATTTTTTTAATTGATAGGGTAATGTAGTACAGCCCATTTAACACATATATTTCATGGGCTCGGAGGCAAGTGACTTTAGTATTTAGTGGCTTCCCTTTGAAAAAACAACAACAAGCGTCTCCATACAGCCCAAAGCATAATCACTGCTAGCTCCAAACTGGCATTATAAAAACATTAACGCTCTTGGAAAATGTGAAATCGTGTTTCGTTGGGACTATAAACTTTATATTAAACACCAGTCAGTCACAGGCCCTCGTGGTTCTTTCGAGGGGATTCATGATTTTAATAATATTGTTTTTGAGATGACACCCGACTCGAAATGCTTCACAGTACAATACATAATGACAAGGCGGACACTTCTAGGGTGCACCCTACCGACTGCGTTGCCGATCGCTACGCTACCATCGCGATGCAATCGATTAAAACTTTATGTAAACATAATCATGGATGATTGGCCTATCGAGCAACACTCATGACACCTACCAATTCTTTATTGTTATTTCTGCAAGCCGATTGAAA